TAGATTTCTCAGCACTGTTAGGTCTGGAAGCATCTTTGGAGGACTTTTATTTGGAAGTAGATAGCATAATTTATATGGGTGACCTCAATATTAATTTTTTGAATAAGTCAGGTTCAAGTTATGATTTCCTAAGTAACATATTGAGAGACTATGGACTAGCTCAGATTGTTGAAGAACCAACCAGAGTTACCAATTTCACCTCTACATTGATTGACGTGGCTTTTGTTAGTCAAAACATACCAGTCACTAAACTGATACTGTTAACTTCTCTTCGATATGATCACCACCTTTATATTTTTGCATAGAATCACTACCTGTCGCCAGCAATGTTAAGTATATAGAGACAAGAAATTTAAAGAATATGGACATGAACCTTTTCATTACTGTCGCCTCTTCTCTCTACTGGTTAGATGTGATCCATCATCCTGATATTAATTCTAAAGTTGAGTATTTGAATAAACTAATTCTATTTGTTCTAGATGCATGTGCTCCTCTGAAATACAAGAAGGTATTCAAAAGGACTCTCTCTTGGATAACACCGAACATACGTCTCATGATGAAACTAAGAGATAAAGCTTATTTCAGTTATAAAAACTTAAAAAAGAAAATTCTAGCAAAGAGGTCATTGAACAAAAATGGACTTATTACAAACAATTACGAATTTAGTAACTGCATCCATCCGTAGAGAGAAGGTTTACGTTGAGTATCAATTAAAGCAAAAGCGTAATTCTCGTAGCTGGTGGAATGTATCCAAGCAGATAGGTATACATGGTAATAAAAATAAGTTTAACGTCTGGCCCTTTTGAACCAGACTCTGTTAATAATTTCTTTATAAATTCTATTCCAAATAGCACAATAGATGAATTACTACTAGTGTACTATGAAAATCACAAGCATCGTTCTGTTGATGTTGATTTTAACTTCACTTTAATATCTCAGCAAATCATATTTGACGAGTTTATGAAAAATAAAATCAAATTGTGCAGATCATGATCAACTGAGCCTAAGTATATTGCACCTTGGTTTAGGCACTTTTACTGTGTGAAGGATGTATTCCTCCATTCCGACGTGGATAGTTTCGGTTATCGAAAAACAGACAGCCGACGCATTCGCGGTCAGTGAAACAGACATCTCTCCGAGGAAGCTAGAGAAGTCTCTGAGCCCGTCCTAATCGGCATGTCCGTAAGGCCAAGTTTTGTGGCCTGTACGAGTTTCTGCTGTCACAGCGGGTTCTGACCGAAACCTAACCTCCACAACACAGTGGTCTGAGTTGCCCAGGGGGGACAGGACAGCAGTGCTGTAAGGGACAGGATGCGTGGTCAAAAAGAGATCCAGCAGGCTAGTGGCGTGTGACGAGATGCTGGGAAAAAAAGTAGGGCTCATCACCAGCTGGGTCAGCCCTTGAGTAAGAGCGAACGCTTCGACTGCACGACCTGCTGCATCGGTCTTGTTTGAGCCCAACCAAAGCTCATTATGGGCATTGAAATCACCGAAAAGAACTACCTCTGAAGCGGGGTGATTGATGTTCAAGGAGTCATCTGGACGGCGAGGTATTCGAGTAGGCCATCCCAGTTATGGTCCGAGGGAGAGCGATAAAGGCAGCAGATAAATTTGGGTGATGTTTTGGAGTAGAGGCGAAGCCACAGAATGTCCTGCAACCTGATTCAAAGAAACATCTCTGGAGTAGGAAAGATTGCTGCGGACAAAAGGCACAACTCCCCCGTTCTTTCTCAGATTGGAGTGCACCTCGTAGTTTGGGAAGTTAAGATGGTTAATCTCTGAGATTTTTGTCTCCGCCAGGAAAGCACGGAGGGACGATTGGATTGCAGGTAGTGATGAACAGCATCAATTTTGCTGTTAATCCCGCAGATGTTCGAAGCAAGGTAAAGTAACATAGTGGACGCAAATTTAAAGCTGACATAAACACTTATTTGCAAGCGCTGGAAGACGAGTTTCGCCGATACTATCGAGACATTAAATTCTGAGTCAACATATTGCACATGACAAGAAATCCATTTGTTGTCGATGGTCACAATTACCAGAAGAAGTTCAGGAAGAATTTCTAGAAATGAAGGCTGATTCGTCCATGAAACATGACTTCCATTTTAACATTGGAGAAAATTGGATGAAAAGATGCCTGTTAATTCGACACTTGCCTCTCTTGTTTTACGAATACTAGTTGCTTTTTCTTCAATTCACTTATGTGAGACAGGTTAGTTGCAACTAAAGCTAAACAGCGAAATCGTCTTGATATCGATAGCGACCTGATGATAGCTCTGACAAAAACAGAACCTAGAATCAACCAACTGGTACAGAACATGCAATCTCAAGTATCTCATTAGCACCTACTCTTATTTTATTCAAGTTTTTCGATAAAACATTTATTAGTTCATTAAAACTTTTAAAGTTTCTTTATTAGAATTAAATAAAAGTCTTTGTATCTATATAATTTTGTATTTATTGAAAAGTTAATGGAGGGCATGACAATATAATTTATAGTCCGAGGAGCTCAACAAAAAAAAGGTTGGGAAACCCTGATCTAAGGCTTCAGTTATTGATAATTTATAGTATGGCGTGCCACTTAAAAAAATGCGTGAGGTGGTGGATGAGACTTTACGAATTTCTTCTTAACAGTCGAGCCCCTGTAATCCGGGGCCCCTGGGGCATTATGCGGCTGATATGGCGGTGGTAGCTACGACCCTGGGTCCTACAAAACTAATTTTAGCAAGGCTCATGTTTGACGTACATATAAAAATATTTTTAATTTTCAGTTTGCAGGTACGGAATATTCGAAAATAAGCCATGTGTATGCGTAGAAGGTACCATTTCAATTTACTTGACACTATTTTTTTCACAAATTTATAACAATAACATCATACTCAAGGCAATTTAATGTTTTAAAATCGATAGACATAGTTGGCTCAAAAAGTCCTGGGACAATTTAATTACTTTTTATCCCGAAGAGCTTTTTACTTTTCACGCCTACTGGTAAGGTTGTATTGTAATCGCGCAAAATTTCGAAATATTGTTTTTTGGATGTTATATGACATGCACGTCATGAAAAACCATGTCGGTCTGTCCGCTAATCTTATAACCGCCTATAACTTGAGAAATGCCTCTCGGATTTTGATGCAATTACACCATGTCACTTCTATGCCAAGGACGCAAAAGCTTTGTAGTTTTCTTCAGAATCCGTTCAGTGGTGGCAAAGAAAGAGGCCTAAAACTACATAAATT